ATGGCTGGCTAAGGAATGCTGGGAGCTGTAGGACTTGATATGCATACGACTGCCAACTAAACTACTGACAAGTAACAACTAAAGTCATTATTGTTAATGTTTTGTTCTATGTTTTTAAAGAAGAATCGTACTTTTTTCTACCTTCCTGATTGCTAAAAACAAACAGTCTGCTGCTACACAGTTACTCATTGTGAATTTTATAAGGATAGGTTCCAATTCACTATTTTCCAGGCTTTTGACAAGGAATGACACAGTGACAAGATAGTCTCACAGGATCTACCTTGTGGAGAATACACAAGTGTGGGAGCAATACAATGAAAAGACATACCTCATTACATATCTGCTCTATGGGAATATCTTAATTACTCTTTATTTAACAGCTGACACACAACAGAAGCAAAACTGTTTCATAAAGAAGATTGTTCATCTGTCACTGCAAGGACCAATCCATTAATAAAAATAGTCTCACTGGTCCCAAAAAGAAGCAAGATAAGACAGACAAGACAGACATACTCCTGGGCAGTAGAACATCTGATCTGCAAGTGATAATTCAACTTGTGCTGGATGGAACAGGATTCACCTTGAAGCTTCAGGTTCACTCTTTAGGAATACTGCCCTGATGGAGGACACAGCCAGGAATATGTTTGCCTAGCCTAGGCTGGCATGCCAGTTAAATCCCTTCTTAGGGAAAGCAGTTCTAACTATGGGAGCACATACCTCTGTTAGATCACATGAAGCGCCACCCCTGCCTCCCAAAATGAACTTTGCTGCAAGGGGTGCCTGCGTGGTATATGGGTTAGAGTACTGGACAAGGAGTTGGGATGTCTAGGCTCTAATCCCTACTCATCCATAAAGCTCACTGGATGACTTTGGGCTAGTCAATGACTCTTAACCAAAGCTATCTTATATGGGTATTGTGAGAATAAAAAAGAGGACCACCATCATATAAGCCACTTTGGGTTCTATGCAGGAGGAAAAGAATCAGAATAGTAGAGTTGGAAGGGGCCTTGAAGACCATTGAGTCCAACCCCCTGCTATTACAGGACACCACTCAGATAGCTGTCAAGTTTCTTTCTGAATGTCTCTCTTGTGGGAGAGCCCATGACCTCTCTAGGCAACTGGTTCCACTGTCCCATTCCTCTGAGAAGGAGGAAAATTTTCCTGGTATCTAGCCTGAATCTGGGTTGTCACAACTTGAATTGATTATTCCATGTCCCACATTCTGGTATCAGCAAGAAGACATCTTGACCCTCCTCTTTCTGACAGCCTTTGAGGTACGTATAGAGGAGTATCATGCCCCCCTCTCAGTCTTCTCTTCTCAAGACTGAACATGCCTAGTTCTCTCAGTCTCCCCTCATAGCGCAGTGTTTCCAAACCCTGGATCACTTTTGTTGCCTTCCTTTGTATGCTTTCTAATTTTTCTGCATCTTTCCTAAATCTTGGTGCCCAAAACTGGACACAGTATTCCAAACAAGGTCTGACTAGTAAGGAGTAAATGGAAACTACTACTTCTCATAATTTAAAAGTAATACTTGTAGTAATGTATCCCAAAATAGCATTTGCCCTTTTTGCAAATGCATCGCATTGTCGGTTCTTATTTAGCTAATTGTCCACAATTATTCCAAGGTCTTTTTTTCAGTTCAGTTGAGTCACATATTCCCCATCTTGTATTGATGCATTTGGTTTTTTTTCCTAGGTGGAGGACCTGGCACTTGTCCCTACTGAATCTCATTTTACTGCTTTCAGCCAAGCATTCAAGTTTATCAAGATCGCCGGGATCTTCATTCTGTCTTCTAGGGTGTTCACTATTCCAGCTAGTTTTGTATCATCTGCAAATCTGATTATCATGCCTTGTACTTCCTCATCTAAATCCTTAATAAAGATGTTGAAGAGCACTGGGCCTAGGACTGAACCCCACCCCACCCCACTAGTTACTTCCAACCAGTTTAAAAAGGTGCCATTGATGAGCATTCTTTGTGCCTGATTTAGCAGCCCATTTTTTGATCCACCTAATAGTTTTTCTATCTAGTCCACTTTTTCCTTATTTGCTTATCAGAATGCCATGGAGTACTATGTCAAACGCTTTGCTAAAGTCATGTCGACAATGTTTCCCTGTCTGTTGGGAGGTTACACAGTCAAAAACTGAGATTAAATTAGTCTTACAGGAATTATTTTTGATAAATCCATGTTAACTTCTATTAATCACTGCATTTTCTTCAATATGCTTACAGACTGATTTTTAAATAATTTGCTCTAGAATTTTTCCAGAGATTGATGTAAGACTAACTGGTCTGCAGTTTCCAGGTTCATCTTTTCCCCCCTTTTTGAAGATAGAGACATTAGCCCTTCTAAGATGGGATAGAAAATTGATGGTGATGATAATGGTGATGGCGGTGGCGGTGGCTTAGCCTCATGCATAGGCAAGAAGAGGAACAGCTGTAGGGAGTGTTTTTATCCGAAAGACTGCTTATAAGAAGAAATGAAGAACTGGCACCTGCTCAATACCTTTCGGTCATGCCTTTTAAATTGTAAACCCAAGGGCAAGGGCAGTCTCTTTCTTATTCTCTGTCAGCCATTCTGCCAGTCCTGTTGTTAAAGAGCAGGGTGGAAGTAAAAGCAATGTAAATAAATAAAGTGTCTTTGACAAATGTTCGGAATGTATGTATTATCGTTCTACTGCTAAAAAGCCAAAGCAATTAAGCTGATCTAGAAGGCAGTAGTTAGAATGTGGACTGGAGCTAGTCAGCAGGTGCATACAACACCCCTGAAGCAACAGCTTCACTGGCTTCCCATTATTTTCTGTTTCCATTTCAGTTAACCTCTGAAATCCAAATTTGGCTTAGGACTGGATTATCTAAAGGACTGCCCCCACACCCCCATGAACTTAGGCACAAAGTATCTTAGAGGAACTGTCCACTGAATCCCAACAGCAAACACAGAGTTGGCTGGGGAAAGGAAATTGCTTCCTTAGTGGCCTCACTCACGTTGTAGAAGTCCCAGTCCAAGGAAGTCCATTTTGTCTCCCCTTTTAGCCACCACACAATTTTTAAGAATGGACAAGCTGTTGTTTTCTTTACCCCAAGTTTTCTAGGAAATTCTAGCTTTATTCCACTCTATCATCAATAATATTGAAATACAATGACATTATTTTAAATGCTTTGTTAATTAACATTTACATTGTGAGTTTCCCCAAATGTTTCTTTGGAATCAAAGTCAGGCTGTAAATTTTTATACAAAAAATCCAAAACAATCCAACCAATGTAGCAAATCAGAGCTGTCCATCTTACACAATAGGGCAGATAGCACAGAAATCTAAACCCATTCAAATACTCAGGCAAGAAACATGTGACAGTCTGTTATTTTAAAAGCACTCCTATATCAAGATGTTCTTGCTCACTTAAGGAATGTCCAAGGAATGCTTACAGCAGCCTTTTTCACCCTTGTGTCCTCCAGATGCTTTGAATGCTAATTCCCAGCAGCCCCAGCCAGCATGGCCAATGGTCAGGGATAATGGGAACTGCAGCCCAAAACACCTTCTCAAAGGTGGGAAAGGCTGACTTGTAGCATATTTTCTTCTTCCTGTTTGCTCATAAACAGCCACTTTGTCACACACATTGTGAGGTGACACAGCCCTGTCACAGACATGCTTATCAGGAGCACCATATACACATCTGCTCTAACTGGCTGGCACAGAACTGGGTCAGCTTGCACGTTTAATTCTCTACTGCAAATATAAAGGTGCCTGGTACCTGTCCACACTCCTATTTGAGTGCAGTATTTCCTGACTGGTAGCTCTTTAACCTTCCATCTGTATGTTCAGTCAGAAGAAAATATAAGCTTGGCTGCCCCTATAACTGCAAACTCTCATGGGAAAAGTTTCCCATCTGGAGACACATATGGTGTTTGTAATCTCTTTCCCCCACATATATTTTATTATTGCTTTAGTCAGTATGTCAGTTGTCAAAGCTACCCAATATCACTTCAACAATCTAAAACTAACTTCTTCATGATTACAGGAAAACATCTGATAAGTTTTCTTTTAAGCAATAGTTTTTGTATTAGGCCACCTGCTCTTCCCTTCCTCCCTAATTATTCGTCATTTTCAGGACTTCCTTCTTAATTATTCATTAATTCCCAAGTTCAGAACCCAGACCTCCTTGTTCCCATTTCTGACTTCTCCACCCCTTCTCCCAAAAAGTGCAAACTTCAAGGAAAAATGAGACCTGGCAGATAACCATTTCTACTAAAGCCCATCTTTTCCCTGTCGCTGCTTTCCGACATCTACCATTTTCCCATCCTTAGCTTTAAGCCAAGCCCAGCAACAGCTTTTGTGAGTGCTTAACCTTACTGCTATTTTCAACATTGTTAATTTCCTAGCCTTCTTGACTTCGAGGGCTTTTACAATACTGTCCTGTCCTAATCCACTGCTTAGTCTATGTTGTTGCAATCTCCACTTTTGTTTTTTATTGAACATTTATGATATCATGCATTATGGTTTTATTCTTTGTGTTGTTAGTTATTTTTCCTCTATTTTCTGTTAAGCCACCCTGGGACTACTGTGCTATAAAGTGTCCTATACATTCCATAAATAGTTAGCATGCTAAAGATTGGCCTATGGAAGATATAATGGGCAACACAGAGAAGACCGCTTGGAAACGCCACAAAAAGAACAACAAAAAGAAATAAAAATATAGCTGCTCCTCCTTCCTAGGATACTTCTGCCCAGCACTTTCACATTTCTGAAACTCTGGGAATACTTCTTCACGTGCTAACCTTGCACATAGGATGAGGCAGGGGATAGAATGACACTATGTTGAACCTCTGTCTGTGGACAAGAGGGATGGCAAAAACTAAAGATGGTATTTTCTGGAAATTTACAGCAATGGCAAGACTAGCTGCTAGTATTTTTCTCTGACTGGGGCTGCTCAAGGGAAGAACTGAGAATGTGTCTCCAGAAACATTTAGCTTATATTCTTATATAAAAGCAGTATTCATCTTACCTCGTAACCAAATTGAAGTTCATCTGACGTCAACATGATTATGTCATCATCAATGGCCAGTACTGCTTCTGTTTCGATCTCATCGTAAGGGAAGAAGCGGTTACTCAGTTTGTTTTCTGTGGTCCGTACAACCTTTAATGGAACTCGAACTTTGGGCCAAACAGCTTCTGCCAATAAAAAACCAACAACCCCCAAAAAGAAATATTTCATATCCATTCTTCCTTCTGTGTCTTATTTGCAGTTTCCTCCTCTCCCCTCAAGTCACTGTGTTCTATGTTTGCAACCAGGCAGGGACTAAAGAAAGAAGATTAAGTACTGTCTTTTGCCACTCTGATACATTCAAATAACTTTTCCACAAAAGTATCACTTTGGCTAATAATATTTCAACATAAAAAATAAATGAAATCTAATTATTTATAGGATGCACTGGAACAAGAGGTGAAAGAATACAAGGAAAGAAATTATTCTGCACGGAACTGGCGCTGCTTGAAAAAATTAGGGAAAGTGAAAACAACTGATCACACTGAAATTTATTCTGGACAAGAAAAATGTGGAAATGCAGGGCGCAATCCCATGCTTACTTGGAAAAAAGCCTGACACCTCCCAACTTTCCCTGGGTGAGATATGCTGGGAATGTCAGAACCCTTTTCTTCTAAACATGAATCAGATTGTGCCCTTATTCAATTAAAAAAGGAAGTTAATATATAATTTATGCTGGGGACAATCCAGAAAACTTCAAGTCACTGGAGGGAACACATGCCGTTACTTATTTATTTAATGTTTTTATATGCCGTTCAATATTAAAGCTCTGGGCAGCTTACAAAAAACAAAACAACCACATACCAACAAATCTTCCTTCTTACAAGATCAATGTCAAACTCTCTGGCCATCCTGAATAGCCCAGGAGCACCTGAGGCTGCAACATTACTGAAGATAAGTATGTGTGGACCTGATCAGACTCCCTAAACAAGAGATCATTGGGAGCCCTGTGTAACAATAAGTGGACCAATTCCCCCAACCCTAAATATTTTTGAGAATGGAAAGAGTTAGATGCCACTGAAATTAATGAAAGTAAATTACAATGTGCTTGCATATTGCAAGAAGAATTTGATCAGTATAGTAAAGCTATGTCTAGATGTTTGACCAGTTTGTTTAGAAAATTATGTCTACCCACTAGATTGATCCCTATTGTACCAAAACTGCCCTAAACTGCTGCAAACAGTTTGTTACAGCATTGTTACCGGACTCAGCCAGTCAACAGCTAGGGCAAACCTGGGTGGACCCCAAACCAGAGCCAAAAGGAGCCTGAGATGAGACTTAGAGCCAAAATCAGCTTTATTCTAGTGCACTATAAAGGGAGACAATTCAGCCCAAAGCAGTGTCTTGAAAGTTGCACCCCAGTACATGCGTTTTATACCCTAGGTAACCAATTAGGTCACCTAATACACATCTAATACATCGATACATCAATGTAGGCACCCTCTCCCGTGCTGGAGAAAGAGTCCTTTCTTCTGTCAAGGACCACACATTTCCTATGTCTATTTCTTATCAGCTCGAGATTCACACAGGCTTGCCATGTTCTTACTCCCTGCACATTTGCAACTTTCAAGGTGGCTAGAACCAGTTTCCACTGTCCCTTTGATTACTGTATTCGAGGTGAGGCGTATTAGTTGTGGGTTACACAAAGTTCATTTTGTTCTTATCTGCCCTCCCTTCTGGGACAGTATAACTGTGGTGTTTTTACTATGTGGTGTTCCTCTGGCCAACTACTTTTGAGGCCTTTCTCGGGCCAATTACTTTTGGGGTGTTTTGGGGTGCTGCAATTGGCAACAGCATCATCCCATGCAATTGTTTATAAATCTCCAAATTTGTAGGATTACAGGCATTGAATGGAAAGCAGAAGTTTGCAATCCAGGGCTGCTGTGGTGCTCTTCCCACCTTCAAAACAAGTGGATAGCTGATTTCAGCCTTTGAAGTGTTTTATCCCTGCTTGTGAACAGAAATGGGCAACTGCAGTGGCATACAAATTGAAATAATAAATAAATGACAAGTCCACACCATGAAATTCAGTGGTGACTTTGGGCCAGTCACAGATGCTCAGCCTAGCCTACCTCATGATGTTACTGTGAGGATAAAATTGAGAGGAGAATTAGGTATGCTGCTGTGGATTCCTTGGAAGAGAAAAAAAGGTGGAAATAAATATAATAAATAGTGTGCATTATTTTCAATGTATACTCTAACCATAAATAAGTGTTTTAGTTAAAGTTTCATATGCTTTATTCTTGTAACTGATATGTTTAACAAACTTTTTGCAAAAGACAAATTAAAGGCAGTGTTACTCCCACATGCTTGCGTAATTTAATTTATCCTGATGAGGCCTAATTGAATGCTTGTGCTTGAATGAACAAAACAGGGCCACTTTGTAATAGTGCCTTATATAATAGTATTAAAGAGGTGTTGAACCTTTCACCAATGGGCCAAATCCATCCCTACAGCATTGCCCAGAGGGCCGTGTCCTCTTCCCCTCATCTACCATGCTAAGGCTTAGCATAGGGGTCCTCAAACTTTTTAAACAGGGAGCCAGTTCACTGTCCCTCAGACTATTGGGGGGCTGGACTATAGTTTGAAAAAAATATGAACGAATTCGTATGCACACTTCACATTAAAAATTATTTAACATTAAAATAAATTTTAAAATCATTTAAAATTAAAATAAATAATGATTAAAAATTAAAAAAATATTTAAAATGTTAAAAAATAAAAACTCATTTATTTTTTTTTTAAATTAAAAAATGTTCACTCCACACACTTGGGCTGCAGCAGAAGCCCAAGATGACGCTGCGCTGACCGCCAAAAGGGAGAGCACGACACGACGGGGAGCCATGAGGGTGCGCTTGCCTCAGTTGAGGCCTTCCGGGCTCCTCAGCGCTGCCCCGCTTCCAAGCCGGAGGAAGGTCCCCTCACAGGTGCTCGCCCAGCTGCAGGAGGGGAAGTGGGAGCGAGAGGCTGGAGAGGCAAGTGCAGGGCAGCTCTCCCGGCTAGGAGAGGGCTGTGAGGAGAAAGGTAAGGGCTGCTTTCCAAGGTGAGGGGAGGCGAGCCTGTGGATGGCTGAACAGGATGCCTCCTGCACCTCCCTGCTGCGGGGGGAAGAAGCATGGCAGCTGCTCCACGGAGGTGGCTTGCCCAGAGGAGGTCGCGGTCCTGCTCCACCTCAGTCTGTCTGCCCCCAGGCTCGGCTCCGTGGCTGCGGCTTGGCCCGCAGCCCGGGGACATGGCTCACATAGTTAAAAATAGATTTAAAAAGTTATATTTTTATTACCTTCTATCTTTTTTTAGTGCCTTCATCTCTCTTCTGTCCTCCTTTCTTCTATATTTCCACTCCATATTCCTGCTCTGTATTCAGAGCCAAGGCATGCATGCAATAGGGGGGAAGAGCTGGCCCATGCGCAGTTGAAGGGAGCTGTTACAATTTGGTGCATGTGCTAGCTCTTGCTAGTCTCTAAAACTGAAAGAGTTTCAGAGAACGCATGCACCAGCTCAGAGCTTTCAGACTCGCTCAGAGATCATTTTCTCTGAACAAGTCCAAAAGCTCCGAGGCGGGCCAGGTAAATGACCATGGTGGGCTGTATCTGGCTCGCAGGCCATAGTTTGAGGACCCATGGCTTACCACTTCCCTAGAGCAAGACCTTTAAGTAAAAATAGGTTGACATTTTCAGTATCTTGGCCTCTTTTGCTATCAGCTCGTTGAAATATTGGAATTTAAAGCTGGCCCTCAGGCTGAAAGGGGTTTGACACCCTTGCTGTACTGTGTGATACAACAACTGGCATAAGAATCTACTAGTAGTATACTTAATACTAATATTTCACTGAAATTCATCCTTTTTCACTCTAAGCAGTCAGAGATTTTAGGGTTTCTTGTAAAAATGTGAGACAGCATTTATCCTTATCTATAATATTCAGGAAAATCAAAAGTATTTAAAACCCAACTTAAATTTATTTTGCATATTTACAACCAGCCTAAAACACAATATTAAAAATGTAAACTTGGGAAAAATGATATTTCTCAGCTGGTAGCAATATTTCTGCTGGTAGCAATATCCCATTTCTGAAGATTCCACAACCAACAACAGTTCCTTTACATTATTATTGACTGCATTTCTTTTAAATGTTTCACAACTTACTGTTTTCAGTATCTTCCTTCTCTCAAGAATATCCATGTATAATGGCAACATATACATTCACTCACATTGTAACAATTAGATTTACATATTAATAAGAATACTAATCTGGTTAATGAACAGAAGATCCTAAAGAGACCTCAACCATGAGATCAATTCCCTTCCAGCTGTATGATTCTGTGCATTTGAATGCAATTGGAACATAATGCTGTAAACACGGAGGATGTGAAGAACTGCAGTATTATCATGTCTGTGTGCAAAAGAAATTCTAATAAAAGCAAGGTTTTTAATTCTATACCAACTGCTACAAAATTTCAACATATATTTAAAAGTACAAAGGAACAAGAGTCCAACATGAGACAAAGTGATATTCTAAGCTAAGCAGTAATTTGAAAAACAGGTACGCAGAGTGTGGAACCCAATTCACAAATATCATTCTACCTATACCAGCGAGTATGAGTGTACTGAAAAGAATAAAAGCTTCTTCATAGGTGAAGACTTCACACATCTATGTGTGAATTTGCCAGCACTGATGCCTTAACAGAGATGTGAATAAGTGTACATGGGTTTTCCTGAAAGAAGAATTGACAGAGACAGTATGATTGAATGGCCATGTTCAGACTGTCCAAAAGCAGACTAGGGAGAGTCTGATTTTATAACTTACACAGAGTACTCCTAAAGAGCATATAAAGTTTTGCACACTTCAGATGCTGGCATCCAAACATAATACCTGAGACAGCTTCCTTAGGAAAACTGTACCCTTTTCCAAACCACACTAAACAACTATGAAAAGAACGTTTACCTTGGAGAGATTTTAAGAAAGGAGGAATTGGCCAGGGTGACCAAAAGAAATAAGAAATACAGAGTGAGAGGTTTTGGAAATATAAGCACTTTAGTTTCCTACTCCAAGGTGGCCCCTGCAAGGCTCACAAAAATGCTTTATAAATTAATGCTTACTAGTGCTGTACTGGGGTCTTAGTTCAGTGGTA